ATTGTATAAATTGAATCTAATTTTGTATAAATTAAATGGATAATTGCTTTATTCTTTTTTTTTTTTGCTTTTTTTTTTGGGTTCAGGTCAGCTTTGATAGCTCTAAATTTATGTTATTAAGCTTATTTTGATTTAGGGGTGTGCAACATCATGAATAAAGAGTATTCATTCAACAAAGATATTAATGTGGATCAAACAGAATTGTTGAAAGGAAATCAGAAAAGGTTAACAGAACATAAATGGAACTAAACAAAATTCAGACTGCAAATGCAGGCAACCATCTAAAGATGAAAAGTGGGACTTCTTAGAAAGACGGCAAGATGTATGTCAACGCTAGATTAAGATTATAATTATATACTTCATTATAAATTATTCAAAAAAAAGAGATATAATTCATCATAAATAAATAAATTCGACTATGAGAGTGCAAAGGTTTGAAGTGGTAAAAGATTAAGAGATGGACCTGCCAATCCAAAAGGAGAGGGAAGCCCCCAGAAGCTTAGCAGAGAAGACGCAAAGGACGGCAGGGAAGAAGCCGAAGAGCAAAGAAGCCCCAGCCTCGAAGAAGATGGCGTAGGGCAAGCAGAGGGAAAGAGTCAGGGTGTGGAGGGCAACATAAAGAGGGATGGCCCAAATCCCCAGTCGATCCGACCATTGCTGGAACAAGCGGAGAGCGGCATCTTTGTCCAATCCCAATCCCAATTGCCCTCCATATTGCTTGCCTATGGCGATTGCACCGACCAACGCTCCTATTCTCAACCATTTCCCCATTTTCATCGTTTCCCTTCCTTTCAATCAATGCCCTCTTTGTAAATAAATGTTCTGTAATACTGGTCGTCTACTACTAATTCCACCGTTTCAGTCCCTTTGGCCAACTCCGCCGGCTGCATTGTTTTTTGTTTGTTAGAAAAAAAATTGTTATTATTATTATCTTAATCTTAATCTTTCTCTATAATAATTTTAACCTACAAACCCTCTGGAAAGTGACACGTGGTTTTTCTTGTCATGGATTATGGTGGGCATTTTAAGTTTTAGGTTGTGAGAGTCTAACCGTTATACGTGTTTTTGAGATTTTTTTACGAGTTTTTTTTAAAATAAACCTTGTGTATAAAATGTTTTTGAAAATACATATTTTCATAATGTTAACAGTTTTTAGCTAAGAAAAACAAAACTAAGATAAAATTATCCTTAATGAAGTCGATCCATATATTTGACTCCGCACCTCAACCTAACCGATATGTTTGGATCAAGTATATTTACAAGCTTTGTAACTCTTCAGTTCTCATCGACAGATCGTACATCTCTTTATAAAGCATTCTCGTGAAAGCATTCTAGCGAAAGCATTTCTCACTGAGTCAACTGTTGAGCATTTTAACTAGTGACAGAAGCATTTTAAAGTGGTTTTTTGCATAAAGGTAGTTCACATATTGAGCAATGAGAGAAAGTTTATATTCCGTGGAGAAAGGTATGCATATATTTTTATTTTTAACCATGTAGAGAAAGTTTAGGGCTATTCTTATTCTTCATGTTCTTCATTTATGGTTTTTGAGCATAAACATAGACATGTTGCTTATTCATATTGATATTCTTATTGTTTAAAATTGTTGAATATAAATTTGAATTTGATATTGTTTGTAGTTTTTGGCTTGAATAGTGATAGGGCATGTGTGACTGGTTGATAGGAATGGGGTTTAGAGGTTTAGGTATTGCATGACTGAGGGTTTGCGTGAGTAGTTGACACTTTATGCATGACTTGTTTTAGGCATGGCGTCACTTAAGGTGTATGTGATTAGTTTAGGCATTGCATTTAAAGGTTTTTGGCATTGCGTGACTTGTTGATAGCTCATTGTGTGATTATATGAAGTCATTGCATAACTACTTGATAAGGCATTGCGTGATTGTTATCTGTATTGCATTGCGTGACGATTATATGTAGGTCGTTGCATGATTGTTATCTGTAGGGCATTGTGTGACTATTATCTATATGAAAGTGCATGAGTATTATATCTGTGGCATTGCATGACCGTCATTGTGTGGATTTTGTATTTTGTTGGCTCAACTTTAATGCTTTGATATGTATATGTTGATTTAATTAATAATTCATACTTCACATGTGCTTAAATTATCATGTTTTTTGTATGCAAAGATAGTAATAACTAGCAATTGTTTGCTTTTGTTTTTAATTCTTCATTGATCATATTTACTAAATTAGAAATGTTATCTGTTTTATGTTGTAGATGGCAAGAACAAGAACAGAGCAAGAGAATGTGGAATCTTTTCTTTGTTTGTCAAGGGACCAGGGGGCGCTTTAGTGCTAGCATTAACATCCATTGTAAGTGGACACAACTGCACATCATACGTGAGGTTTTGTGGAAAGTAAATGAGTTGGAAAGAATGAAAAGAACATGCTTCGGGCATTGGATGAACATCGAATCAAATAAGAGTTTATTTTGTGTTAGTCTCATGTACAACCTAATACTACGTAGAATTAATCAACGCGGCATTATCAAGGGTGAGTTATGATTTTTCCATAGGTAAAAATAATGCCTAGTTCTCTAAACGTGAGTTCTTCCTAGAAACAGGATTGAAGATTGGTACCATGTTGGCCATTATTGATAGTCTTTCGAAGGTCGTCCCTGGAGGAATTCATGAGCAATATTGGGGAACGATGAACGAGGTGAAGTTACAATGAGTTTAGAGATGTTCAAGAGAAGCCAATTTCAGCAAGATGGAGATGCGACAAAGATTGCCCTCATCTTGATCACAAACAATGTTTTATTCGGTCAAGACTATAGACAAGTAGTGATTCCGTGATTGTTGTCGCTCATCGAGAATATCGAGTACTGGAATGTGTTCCCATGGGGCACTTATGTATGGACTCTAGCTATTGATTACAAGTTGAAGGGCTTTGAATCTCCAGCGATGGGAGCAGAAGAAAAAAAACGTTATCACCTATATGGATTTTTATGGGCGTTTTCAAGCTGTGCACCCTACCTCGGTTTTTTTATTTTTCTTTTCACATAAGATTTTATTAAGTGATTAAAATGTTTTACAATTGATGTGCGATTTTGGGCGTTGTAGGTGATTCTTGATAGCCAAAGTTGGTTTGGATCCTACTGCTAGTCTGGACAAGTTTATCCGAGAATGCTGAAATGGCATTGTGACAAGAGGCCCATAGGCTTCCACAACAATATTGTAGATTTTGAGAGAAAAAGTAGTGAGGAAATAAACCATACTATTTTTGTTTTAATTAATTTTTTTTGTCATATGTTAACTACCTTTCAATCTAATGGCAATGTATGTTTTGGTGCAGTTTCACACAATCAAGACCTCAGAGCCAACTGTAGAAAAAATGTTGAACGCATATTAGGTCGACATTGATGTCAATATATCTGAGGGGTAGCAATACATTCCATTATGGTAATTGGAGGGTCGGGTAGAATACATTCCCCAATAAAGGAGAAAGATAATGGACCATAAAGAGAAAATGGTGGTAAGATGAGGCGTTAAGTGGAGTCGTACCACGAATGAGGAGGTCCATGCCCATCTTACTATGGTTGAAGCTTTTAGTGATGTTGAGGCTTCTCTTGCTCCTCCTGTTGTTGATGATGATCAAGCGCGCAACCCGCCACTACATCCTCTTATGCATACAGGCTTAAAGCACAAGATGAAACGGATAAGGATGCAGTGGAATAAGGAACTTTATTCACTATAGATGGAGATGCAGATGTAGATGCAGTCCATGCAAATGAAGGTGCAACGAGACATGTAGATGCATATGCAGTCAATATAGTTAGAGATCTAATGACAATGCAGTTATAGATGCAGCAAATGCAGTTGGATATTCAGTAGTCCATTCAAGGGCTGGAGGATTGGATTGTTCGTTGGTTGTTCAACCATTATGAGGTATGAGCTTTTATCTTTTTTCATTGCGTGAGTTATAATGTTTAGGATGTATTTGATGTTTTAATGTGTTTAATTTTTATCAATGTGCAGAGTCAATTTATGGGTTAAAAAGATGGTGTGTGCAAGGAAGCAAGCATCAGTAATGGGGTTGATCTTGATGAGCTAATTGGCATAAATGACCTAATTGGGGCCTCATATCTTACAAGTAGTCCAACTACACCTGCCCCACATCCTACTTGTATCCTAACTCCACCTAAGGCCCCTCAACATGCTCAGAGCACACCTTCTCTTGAAGCTTTACCTCTACCCCCACCTCCAGTTGAATATGCACTTGTGAGCATGGCTAGCAAACATGTTCAAAGTCCATACATTAACCCATTATCAATTTAGCGCAAAGCGAAGTATGCATTGAAGGGCAAATATGAATGCTTCATGAAACACGAGCAAAATAGGTAAAATGATAACATTACACAATATTAGGGTTAACGGTTTGAAATTATTGAATCAACCAATGATAACTCTATGATATAGAGTTATTTGAGCTTAATATTAATAGTAATTTAGCTTTGTTCTTGTAGTAATGCATAGAAATTAGTAGATTTTATTTAATTATTTTAAATTAGTTAATTTAGGTGAGTCAATTTAATCTTAATTAATTTTATGTTTAATTTGCTGATACTATGGTTAAGATAAGTTATTATTGATTTATTTGTACTTTTGTAGGTATTTGATAAAAGGAGAATTTTAATAAAAGAAGAAGAGCAATTTTAAGGGGCAAACTTGCACTGCATATATTTTGGTATTTTTGTTATAACTCTCTTTACAGAGCTCCAATGAAGTGATTCTTAAACCATTGAAAAGATAAGAGAAAAATCTATAATTTTCATGTTTATCACTTTGCCCAGTTCAATTTGGAACATAGTCAAAATTCTTGTCAAATTTGACATACTAAAGCCGTCCTTAAGTAGTTGCGATTTCTATTAATTAATTGGGCAAAGCTATGGCTCACGTAGTCTGATGAGGAAATCTTGATTGAAATTGACTTCTTGCTTCACCTAACTTGGCCTAAGTTCAAAGCCCTATAAAAACATCCTTTCAGAGGACTTTTGAAAAAAGAGAACGAAACATCAGATTTACAACTGAGAGTCAAGCCACAGAGTCATTGAAGTTAAGAAGAATTTTAAGGATTCAAGGAGATTTGAAGATCAAGAATAGAATCCTTGGTTTTTTCTATCGTTTTGTTATTCTCTTATTCTCTTGGTTTTGTTTTTAATGTAAAAATTTTATTTAGTGATAATGTGTGACGTGATGAGGAATTAATTCATTAATCTAAGATTACGATTGAACTCAATATGTAATCTAAATTATTTATCTCTCTTTTACTTATATTTGATGGACTTAAGTTGTTTATTTTATTTTGTTCTTAATGCTTCTAGTTGACTAGCCACCAATTAGATTGAATTGGAAACTTAGGTTAAACCTTGACAAAAGAGATTTAGGTAGACCTTGAATAGAATAACGTATGATCGAATGCACTTAGTTGAGTAAGTGGTTTGATTTGCATAAAGAGTAAACATACATCTATAAGCCATACATAGCCAAAATTAGAGCATGAACTTAATAAATCCTTTTTTCAATTTAATTTGCATAGACACATAGTAAATTAATTAGGAGAAGTATTTTTATGAGAAATTTGATAGAGGCTTATAAATAATTTAGGACTCTAAATTAGCAACTTAATCCATTAAACTAAGTTAAGAGAGAAAGACAATAATTAGATGAAGTATTAAGGGATGTCATAATCTTAGGCTTGGTAATTAAGTGAGTTTCATAAAACACATTTACTATTTAATTTTAGTTTTAGTTCATTAGTTTAAATTTTCTTTTTAATAATTTTAAATTTAATTGTTTAGATAAGATTAAAGTGTTACAATTTTAGTAATTAACAGTAAGAAGTAATTCAATTCTTTTTAGGATCGAGATTC